GGCCTAAAGGGAAGACCATTTCCCTGTTGGGGCAGGGGAGAGATCATTCTCCAAGCCGCTCACTTCTCTGAATTTTCTGGAATAGGTGAGTTACATTATGATCTTTTGGACTCAACCAGAGGCTGGGTTGGGGGTACAAACACATCCCTGCTCTATTGCTGCAGGCAGAAGTGGGTAGGAAAAGTGAGAATGAGGGTAAACAAAGGAAGGATTCTCTCCAATGCGGTGTGAAAGCCACCATGAGGAGATTAAAATAATGATGATGATAATAATATAGCCCAGTCTGGAGTGGGGGTTGGGACAGGTTTCCTAGGAGTGCTGCAAGAGCTAAATTGTGAAGGACCAATGACACTTCTCTGGCTATGAATTACAGAATTGCAGCACCTAAACTGAGAAAGAGGAGCCAACTGGTTGTGGGAGGGACAGGAAGACACCATCAATATATATGTGGGGGGGGGGGTGGATGTGCTAGCTCTGGAAATGTAAGAGGGGCAGTATCGCAGGGAGAGTGGAGTGACTAGGGATGCGGGGTGGCAGTGCTCCCTGGGGAGAGCTGGGCATGTCCTGAGACCTTCCGAGCAAGGCTCCCGGTGTGTGAAGACAGCAGAGCTCACAGGATTTCCTGACTCATTTGTCCTGGAGGTCCTTGGCTTCCTGGCCCCAGGCAGGAGACCTGGGAAGTGTTGAACCAGCCTCACCCATTGAAAGCTTCAGGGAAGGTTAGGCACAGAGTAAAGGTCACAGGAAGCAAGGCAAAAAGCCCCTGGAAAACGGCTGCAGCCAGGGACTAGTGGTTCATGCCTATGGTCCTAGCTACTCAGAAAGCCTAAGATCTGAGGATCATGGTGCAAAGCTAGCCAGGGTAAGAAAGTCAGTGAGAGGACTGGGAAGGTGGCTCAGTGGTAGAGCGCTTGCCTTGTATGCATGAGGCCCTGGGTTCCATTCCTCAGCACCACATAAGCAGGAAAAGCTGGGAATGGTGCTGTGGCTCAAGTGGTAAAGTGCTAGCCTTGAGCTGAAGAGCTGAGGCCCAGAGTTCAGGCCCCATGACTGACAAAATAAAGTCAGTGAGATTCTCATCTCTACTTAACCACCAAAAAACTGTAACTGGCACTGTGGCTCAAAGTGCTAGAGCACTAGCCTTGAGCAAAAGACCTGAAGGACAGCCCAGCACCAGTGGCTCACGCCTGTAATCCTAGCTACTCAGGAGGCTGAGATCTGAGGATCCCAGTTCAAAGCCAGCCCGGGCAGGAAAGTCCGTGAGACTCTTATCTCCAATAAACCACTCAGAAAACTGGAAGTGGCGCTGTGGCTCAAATGGTAGAGCGCTCGCCTTGAGCTAAAGAGCTGAGGGACAGCGCCCAGGCCGGGTTCAAGCCCCACCACTAACCCTCCCCCCCAAAAAAAAATCATTCCTGTAGTCTTAGTTGTAGTTCAATGCCAGCCTAGGCAAAAAAATCCATAAGACTCTTAGCTCCAATGAGCCACCAAGAAACCAAAGGAGAGGTATGGCTCAAATGGTAAAGCCTTGAGCATAAAAGCCAAGTGGAAGTGCAAAGCCCTGAGTTCAAGCCCTAGTACTGGTACAATAATTGAATGAATGAATGGATGAATGAATGAATGAGACTTCTTCCCCACGGGGCAGGATGAGGAAGAACAAGTAGGAATCAGGGCAGGTCAGTGGAGAGAAGGAGCTGGGAAGGACAGGAGGTAACTGGACAGGCTGGTGGGCCCTGGGAAAGCAGCCAATGTGAATGCTGGGGAGCAGGAGAGGCTGAGGAGGACGGACAGACCAACAGACTGGAGAAGGACGTGGGAACTTGACACTGGAGCTCAGGGAGGGAGAGTCCAGCAGCAACCATGGTTTTTCCATGTGCTGCAAGAGCAGAACTCCTGGAAGAAGCAGAGCCAGTTTTACATCTCCATGTTTAAATGTCCATGCAGGAGAGCCTGTCTTTCCACAGTGCTGGTGTATGTGGAAATGAGTAGATTCACAAAACATACAGTGGTTTCATCGCCTTTGCTTCTCTGAGTTCTCCTGACTTCACTTGAAGTCTTGACCACAGCAATCACAAGTTCTTGATTCCATGCTAATCTGTGTGTGTGTGTGTGTGTGTGTGTGTGTGTGTGTGCTCACACGCACTGCTTCTAAGACTTGAACTCAGGGCCTGCATACTGTCCTTTTGCTTTTTCACTCAAATCACAGCTCCACTTCCAGCTTTTTGATGGTTAATTAGAGATAAGAGTCACACAGACTTTCCTGCCCAAGCTGGTCTTGAACCAATATCCTCAGGTCTCAGGTCTCTTGAGTAGCTAGGATTCTAAGTGTAGGAGAGTGCCGATCTTGAGGGCAAAAGCTAAATGATAGCATCCAAGCCCTGAGTTCAGTATTGGCACATGTACAAACACACACACACACGTGCATACACACACACACTCACACAGAGAAGGAAGTTCATGCCTGGCAATCTCTAGGGCAAAGGTGTATACTTCATGATGAACAAAGTGACAGTGGGTGTTCAATACTACACTCTGTCCTGTCTCTCCTCGGATGTGTCTTTAGTGAGGGAGTTGTGTCATCCATGGGTCTCTGTCCAATGAGCTCCCAGGTGTTTTGTGTTTGTTTGTTTGTTTTTTATTAGTGTGAATAAGTCACTTATCAGCCAGTACAGGACAGTTAGTTGAAGGTAAAAGTTACCAGTCATTCTACCTCATCATTGTTACCTAACATAAAGTGACTCAGGAAAAACAGATTCTCTGTACAAGATGGACTAATCTGGGGCAGGGTAGAATATGCCCTACAGGTTGTTCTTTTTAAACTCTGGGATCAGCAGGGCACAGTAGTGCACACCTGAAGTTCCAGCTGAGGTGGAGGATTGCTTGAGCCTGTGAGTTCTAGACTAACCTGAGAAACATAGCTAGAACCTACATTAAGAAACAGAAAGAGGGCTGGGAATGTGGCTTAGTGGTAGAATGTTCTGATTCCTCAGTACCACATAAACAGAAAAAGCTAGAAATGGCCCTATGCCTCAAGTGGTAGAGTGCTAGCCTTGAACAAATGAACCTCAGGGACAGTGCCTAGGCTCTGAGTTCAAGCTCCAGAAAGAAAGAAAGAAAGAGAAACAAAGAAAGAGAGAAAGAGAAAGAAAGAAAAAGAAAGAGAGAGAGAAAGGAAAGAGAGGGAGAAAGAAGACAGAAAGACAGAAGGGAGAGAGGGAGGGAGGAAAGGAAGGAAGGGAGAAAGGGAAGGCAGAAAGGGAAGAAAAAAGGGAGAAGGGAAGGGAAGGGAAGGGAAGCAGGTAGGCTGGCATTGATGGCTCACACCTGTCATCCTAGCTACTCAGGAGGCTGAGATCTGGAGAAGGCTGTTTAAGGCAAAAAAATGTTTGTGAGACTATTTCCAATTAATGGGAGGCGTGGCTCAAGTGGTAGAATACCAGCTATGAACAAGACAAGAAATCTGAGAGGGACCGAGAGAATGTGTATACAAGGCCCTGAGTTCAAGCTCCAGTGCCACAAGAAAGGAAAAGAGGCTAGGAAGGTGGCTCAGTAGTAGAGTGCTTGCCTTGCATGCGTGAGGCCCAGGGTTCGATTCCTCAGCACCACATAAGCAGAAAAAGCCAGAAGTGGCACTATGGCTCAAGTGGTAGAGCGTTAGTCTTGAGCTGAAGAGCTGAGGGACAGCGCCCAGGCCCAGAATTCAGGCCCCACAACCAACCAAAAAAAAATCAATAATTATTGCTTGGACGCCCGTGGTACACACCTGTAATGCTAGCTACTCAGGAGGCTGAGATCAGAGGATCAGGGTTCAAAGCCAGCCCAGGCAGGAACACCTGTGAGACTCTTATCTCCAATAAACCACCAGAAAACCAGAAGTGGCACTGTGGTCAAGTGGTAGAGCGTTAGCCTTGAGCTGAAGAGTTGAGGGACAGCGCCCAGGCCCAGAGTTCAGGCCCCACAATGGACAAAAAAGAAAGAAAAAGAGGGAAGGAGGGCTGGGAAGGTGGCTCAGTGGTACAGCGCTTGCCTTGCATGCTCGAGGCCCTGGGTTCGATTCCTCAGCACCACATAAGCAAAAAGCCGGAAGTGGCGCTGTGGCTCAAGTGGTAGAGTGCTAGCCTTGAGGTGAAGAGCTGAAGGACAGTGCCCAGGCCCAGAGTTCAGGCCCCACGACCAGACCCAAAAAAAAAAAAAAAAAAAGAAAGAGGGAAGGAGCAGGGAATGTGAAAGTGGGTCCATGTATATAAGGGTGAGAATGTGTAACTATTTGTGTGTGTAGCTGCATGGCTGTGTGTGTGTGTGTGTGTGTGTGTGTACAGACCTGCGCAGTGTGTGGCTGTGTGTATGTGCCTGTGCATATCACTGAGTTGTCCATGGGTCTGTGCATCTCTGCATCTTCCTGGGAACTTGTGCACCTGCTGCGGTGCTTGGCATCTCTGCCTGGTGGTTCTGTGGTTGGGAGGGGCCTGGCGAGGCCTTGGCAGGTGGCAGGTCAATATCTGACTATGGAATTCGACTTTGAACTCCGAGTGAGAGGAAGGTTATGATAGACTCCAGAGGGCTTCCAGATGAACCCTGGTGGCTTATCTCTGAAGGCTGCAGGTCACGGGCCCTTGTTAAGCTGTTGTGTGTTTGTTCTTTGGCTGTACTCAGCAACGCTGACTGTGGACTTAGGCTGTTGGCGCGGCATGGAGGAAAGAAAGTCTCTTGGTATGCAGGAAGCCTGGCTGACAAGGTGTAGGACTGTATCCATGGATACCCTTGGGGCCAATGGGGCCTCAGCAGCCCCCCCACCCCAAGGGAGGTGTACAGGTAGTGGAGTGGTCCTACCTGCCCAGTGCCAGGTGATGTAGCCACCGGAAGGAGCTCCTCCTACCTGCCTGGTGCCATTGGTCACTGCCTGCCCCACCCCTGCTGCCCTTCCTGTCCCCTCCTCCCAGGCTGACGCTGAGAAGTGGGTGAAAGGAGATGCCAGGGCTGCTGCGGGGCCTCTGGCCACTTCCCAGGGGGCGGTGCCCTCGGTGCTAGCAGGTGCTGGGGTATGAGGAGGAGACAGTGTCAGTCACCCCGGCAGGAGAGGTGGCAGGGGAGCTTAGGGAAGGCTGGCAGCCTGCCAAGCCCAAGCTCCGTTCTCTTCCCTTCCCAGGCAGTGGCAGCAGAGGATGCCCCAGGCCCTGGAACGTGCCGATGGCAGCTGGGCCTGGGTGGTACTGCTGGCTTCCCTGGTGACCCAGGCCCTCACCCTGGCTTTCCCCATGTGCATCGGCGTGTTCTTCACTGAGCTGCAGCATGACTTCCAGGCCAGCAACAGCGAGACCTCCTGGCTCCCCTCCATTATGGGGTCCATGCTCCACGCTGGGGGTGAGCAGTGTGGGGAGGGGGTGAGGGCTGGGGGGGGGAAGAGGCCACAATGTGCCAGCCTTCTGGCGCTCTCTCTGTCTGTCTCTCTGTCTCTGTCTCTCTCTCTGCCATCCCAGGCTTTGCCTCTTGGATATACTCCTGAGATTTACTGGATCTCAGCAAGGCCACCCACCGCCCCACCCCTCACCCCCACTGGCAGGGAAAGGAAACTGTCCTGGGGTGAGGACAGGGCAGAGGTACTGAGGTTGGTGGAAAGCCAGGCAAATTCCTAAAGAGTCCTTTCATTGGGATGGAGGATCCATCCCAGTGCCAAACAGGGAAAAGCTGGGACTTGGGCCAGCAGATCCAGGACCTGCTGCTTTCCAGCTGGGCCATCTCCCAGTGTCCTTTCTTCCCCTGCAGGCTGGAGGTAACGCCCTGCATCCCACCCTGCATCTGTGGGATGTGAACTGGGAAATACACAAGCTATGAATGATGAGTATCTTTTTTGGGGGGTCGGTCGTGGGGCTTGAATCCTGGGCCTGGGCGCTGTCTCTGAACTCTTCAGCTCACGATGAGCACTCTACCACTTGAGTTCCAGCGCCACTATCTGGTGTTCTGGTGGTTCACTGGAGAGTCTCACAGACTTTTCTGCCCGGGCTGGCTTTGAATCGCGATCCTCAGATCTCAGCCTCGTGAGTAGCTAGGATTATAGTCGTAACCCACGGGTGCCTGACTGAATGAAGAGAATCTTAAAGACCCTTATGGGGGCTTACGTATGGGAACAGGGCCTCAGGAAGAAGAGGGACAAGGCCTGCACCCCACCTTTCCCGGGTGTTTCTTACAGAGGGGAGGCTACTGAGGCTAGAGCCTGGGAAGAGGCAGCCTCCGTCTTCCCATTCTCCTTGTTCTCACCTCTGGCCCCAGAGGCCTGTGACCAGGTTGGCATGTGACCAGGAATGTGACTGTCTCCCCTTTTCCTCCCTGCCCCCCCCCATTGCTGGGGGCAGGTTAGGAACTGCCCTGAGAGTTCTGCATGGGAACCCTAGCTACCGGAAGCCCTCTGGGGAGATGGCAGAGACAGTGACTTCAGGGGGGTTTTGGTCAACAGCAGCTAAACGAACCCAACTTCAGGGCTTGCCCAGCTCCCTAGTTCTCTGCCTGGCCACTCCCTCCACCTGGCACCAGCACCCTGATGATTATTCTAGGGTGTTCTTTCTAGGTATTTGGAGGAAGGAGAGCGGGAGAGATTGACCTGTCAGGGTGATCCTTGATCAGCCTGGGCAAAATGTGAGGGGTAAAGCCAGGTCTGGCCCTGAACACGTGACCTCTTGGCCTGCGGGGCTGGACTAAGCAATGGGAATGTCTGACCATTGTTTCTCATGCAGCCAAAGGGACCTGGGCAGGGGCTAGGGACCTGGGGCAGGGGCTAGGGACCTGGGGTATCAGTTGGGGACCCACTGCTCCCCACCCAGAGCAGGCGCCCATCTCTGTTGGTGTGAGAGTCCTCTCTGTCCGGTTGTCCGTCCCTTTCTCAGACACCTGCCTTTTCGTCCATGCTCATTCAGCATACCATTGAAACTTTACACGTGGAAGTCATTCATTCAGTCCTTTCCAGTGTTTCCCCAGCGCCCCCCCCAACATGGTAGAGATGAAGAAAGCAACCCCAAATTGCAAGGCTTGCCTGTGGCTGAGGAGAGGTTCATGCCCCTGGCAGAAGGAACAGCCACCTCCAGGGCCCCACCCCATGCCAACGACTCAGGGATTTGCCCCAAGGTCACCTTTCCTGAGTTAGGCAAGACTCAAGCACCAGCAGTCAGAGCCTCTCTACAGCCCTGTCTATCCCTCGGCTCCTGCTTGGTCGTCTTTGAGGATGGGCTGCTCACTCCCTCCCTCTGTTGCCCTCAAACTGACACTGGTTCACACAACACAGCCTCTTTCTACTACTGGCACGCATGCGCACACCGGCACGAGCACAGGCACGCGTTCACATTGTCTGGCCCTCCGTTGCACTCCGGGAGAGTTACTTGGGGCAACTCGTGTGTGCTGGGGGCAGGGCGCTCCGTGAACGTGGCTCTCTGCAAGGTGTCTTGGAGCTGACAGCAAGACTGGCTAGTTTTCTAGCTGTCAGGCTAGAAAGCAAGCAGTCAGGGTCAGAAGCAGGTCCCTCTCCACATAGAGACAAATGTCTGGAGTGGGGGACTTGAAGAAGTGGAATTTTGAGGGTTTTTCTTTTTCTGTTGTTTTGTGGGGTTTTGGTTTTTGTTTTTCCAGTCATGGGGCTTGAACTCAGATCCTAGGTGCTGTCCCTGAGCTCTTTTGCTCAAGACTAATGCTCTACAACTTGGGGCCACAGTTCCACTTCCGATTTTCTGGAGGTTAATTGGGGAGTCTCACCGACTTGCCTGCCTGAGCTGGCTTTGAACAGCGATCCTCAGATCTCAGCGTCCTGAGTAGCTAGGATTACAGGCATGAGCCACTGGTACCCAGCTTCTTCTTCTCCTTCTTCTTCTTCTTTTCTAATCTTGGGACTTTAACTCAGGGTCTGGCACTGTCCCTGAGCTTGCTCTACCACTTGAGCCACAGATCCACTTCAGCTTTGTTTTTTGTTTTTGTCAGTCGTGGGCCCTGAACTCTGAACCTGGGTGCTGTCCCTCAGCACTCTACCACTTGAGCCACAGTGGCCACTTCCAGCTTTTTCTGAGGAATCGAACCCAGGGCCTCATGAATGCAAGGCAAGCGCTCTACCACTGAGCCACCTTCCCAGACCTCCCCGCACCGTTTTTTTGTTTTTTGGTGTTTTTTTTTTGTTTTGTTTTGTGGTGGTTAGCTGGAGATAAGACTCACAGACTTTCCTGCCCAGTCTGGCTTGGAGTGGTGATCCTCATATCTCAACCTCCTAAGTACCTACATAAGATTGCAGGCATGAGCCTTTGCTGCTGGCTGAACTGCTCTTGAACTACACTCCTAGTCCTAGCTGTGGATTTTGGTGGTAGCCGGAAGTGATGGGAGAGGAGAAGGTACCCGGCCTGATTCTCTCCAGAAGCCAGAGTAAGCAAGTACAAGATGGCTCAGGAGCCACCTAGATGTGCAAGGCTGGCAGGCAGAGAGAGGGGAGTGGTGCGTGCTACACAGGACTTGGGTCAGCATAGAAGAGGGCAGAAGTATTCTCTATGGCTGAGATGCCTGAGAGGCGCACTATGAGACAGACCCCAACTGAAGGGTATGCACAAAAGTCAGGAACCAGTCGTGTGCAGTGCCAGGCCTTGGTGTGCCCATGAGGTTCCTTGTCAGGTTCAACATCACCTAGACTGACTCCCCTTTACTCTGAAGAAACTGAGGCAGAGAGAACCCTTAAGTCTTAGACCACAACTATGGCAGGATGGAATCAGTCTGGCAGGATCCAGGGCTTGTGTCCTTGAAGCCACCTATTAGTTCCTGCTGGGACCCCTCTCCCCAGTCCCTCACTGGGTGTCACCTGCTGACCCTTGGCTCTCCACAGGACCCCTGTGCAGCATCCTGGTGGGGCGCTTCGGCTGCCGAGTGACTATGATGTTAGGGGGTGTGCTGTCCAGCCTGGGCATGGTGGCCAGCTCCTTCTCCAGGACCCTCGTCCAGCTCTTCCTCACAGCGGGATTGATCACAGGTGACTGTCAGTCCATTGGAAATGGTGGCAGGAGTGGACAGGGCCAGCAAGCCTGCTCACCTCCCAGAACTGCTTACAGTCCAGCCAGAGAGGCGGATAATTGTCAGATAAATAGCAATGCTTAAGCCGGGGGGGGGGGGGGGGGGGGGGGGGAGGGAGGGAGGGGGGTAGGGGGCTGTCTCAGGAGGCTGAGATCTGAGGATCGTGGTTCAAAGCCAGACCAGGCAAAAAAGTCCATGAAACTCTTGTCTCCAATAAATTACTCAGAAAAGGCCAGAAATGGTACCGTGGGCTCAAGGAATATGCTCACCTTTTAGCTTGGGCAGAGTGCCCGGGCCTTGAGTTCAAGCCCCAGAACTGGCCCCCAAAAAAGCTTAAATACTTCCCATCCCGACAGTTCGTGAAAAGACCAGGCAGTAGGGGAGATGGGCAGGCATAAAACGAGACAAGAAGTAAACTAGCAGGGACACCTAGGAAACACAGCGAGGGTGGAGAAGTTTGCCTTTCTTGACCTGGCAATCAGGGAAGGCTCAGAGAGAAAGGGACAGTTAAGTGGTGTATTAGTCAGCTTTCCTTTAGTGTAGAGAATTCCTGAGGTAATCCACTTATAAAGAAAGAAAGCTCATAGTTGGCAAGGTTCAGGCCATGATTCATTGTTCCTGGTAGCTTAGGGCTGTGTGGTGAGGAGCACTTTGTGCTCGGAGCACAGTAGAGCAAAACTACTCATCTGAAGGTCAGAAGAGGTTGGAGTCCTATTTCCCGAGGGAGGGCACCTCCTTCAGTGACCTAAAGAGCTCCTGCTAGGCCCCGCCCCTCCAGGTTTCCATTACCTCCCAGCTAGGGACCACGCTTTTCCCACAAAGTAAATGAATAGGAGGTGGGGTCCAGGCTGGATGGGGTTTTATTCGTGAAAGGCTTCCTAATGAGCCAGGCATGGGTGGCTCACACCTGTAATCCCAGCTACTCTGGAGGCTGAGATCTGAAGCTCATGGCTTGACGGCAGCCCAGGGCAGGAAAGTCTGTGAGGCTCTTATCTCCAATTGACCATAAAAAGCTGAAAGTATGGCTGTGGCTCAAGAGATAGCATGCTGGCCTTGAACCAAGAAGCCCAGCAAGAGTTCAAGGCCTCAGTACTGGCACCAAAAAGGAGGAAGAAAAGGAGGAGACAGCACTAAGACGCTAAGGAGTGAACCACTGGCAGGATGGGGCAGACCTCACCTATGAAGAGACTCCCTTATGGGGAAAATGGAAGACCCCATCTGGGCTTCTAAGGGAGAGGCCTTGAGCTAGAGCAGACAGTTCAGGGGTCAGGAGATGGAGGTGGGGGCAAAATCTGGAGGAGAAACTGTCCTGCTGTCACAGAGGGAAGGAGGGAGTTCAAGCCCCACAACTGAAAAAAAAAAAACAGTGATCTGGGTTGAACCAAGGGAAAGTGGGTGCCCCTGGCAAGGCTTGCCGGGCAGATCTGAGGGGTAAGATGCTTAGCGGTAAAAATACTCTGGCCTAGGCTGGGGAAGTGGCTCAGTGGTAGAGCGCTTGCCTTGCATGCATGAGGCCCTGGGTTCGATTCCTCAGCACCACATAAGCAAAAAGAAAAGAGCCGGAAGTGGCGCTGTGGCTCAAGTGGTAGAGCGCTAGCCTTGAGCTGAAGAGCTGAGGGACAGCGCCCAGGCCCA